GGGGCTCCAGCCTGGCCCCGGCTGGCCTGGAGTGCCTTGACCGCCTCTGGGGAGAAGCTGCTGGGTTAGCCCAAGGCCGCTGGCTGTTTGTCCGAGCTTTGTTCAAACAAAGCGGAGGGTAGCCTGAGTCTTCTGGAGACCTGAAAGCTCCCTGTGTCAGACTTCATTCAATCACCCGCGCTTCTCTGTTGGCTCAAAATTTGTGAACCCGGGGCCTTTCTCATGTTACGAAGTGGGAACGGTGAAGTTCTCACTCAGAAAGCAATGCTGCGGTTATTTTTCCTCCATCCTTTTGCATCCAATGTTGCTTAGCACCTGGGATCTGTGGAGTTCTGGAGACCTGAAAGCTCCCTGTGTCAGACTTCATTCAATCACCCGCGCTTCTCTGTTGGCTCAAAATTTGTGAACCCGGGGCCTTTCTCATGTTACGAAGTGGGAACGGTGAAGTTCTCACTCAGAAAGCAATGCTGCGGTTATTTTTCCTCCATCCTTTTGCATCCAATGTTGCTTAGCACCTGGGATCTGTGGAGTGAAATTAGGGGCCTAATGAGATGTTTGAGGTCTCTTTTCTTACCACCCCGGCTCGGAGGGGGACGCGAAAGGCATGCAGGGGCTAGCTGACCCCAGCGCTCCCTCCGGCCCGAGCGCTGCATTAGAGGCCCCAGGTGGGCGAGAAGTGCAACTTCTGCAGTTCAGAGGTTCTGCCGAGTCCCCGGCGTGATGAGCCCCAGCAGTGCAGCGCTCTGCTCAGCGTTGCTTTGTTGGGCTCCTGCGAGGTGATAACTAGCCAGACACTGCTGGGAGGAGGATGGGTACGCCGCGGGGGAGGCAAAAAACAGTCTGTTCCCAGCTCTCCCAGTTCCCAGCCCTCCACGGTTGTTGCATTTTGCTTTGTTGTTCCAACGTGTGCAAGTCATTTAATGTCGCACTGCCATTTCTTAACCCACAAAATAAGTGCAGCAGTGCTTTCCCAGCACTGAAACCTGGGGATGTAACCCCAGGTTAAAACTGAATTTAGTATCCTTTCCGTAAAACCAAACCTTGCCCAGCTCTGCCCGATGTAGTAGTTGTAAGAGCGTAAGTAAGTAGCTTGTGTAAATGCAGCAGGGAAGAGAAGGGGGAGCAAGGCAGAGCAGCAGGGCTGTTTTTCAAGGTCACGAGTTTGGCACCCCCTTGCACCTCGCTGTTCCAGTTGTGAAAGCCATGAAGTAAGAACCCTTTTTTTTTTTGCCCTTGAGGGCTGAACTGATCAAACACTAGGATGTTGGTAGCAGCTACAGCTTCAAATGCACAAGTTTCATTTATACTGAAATCTTTGGCCCTTTCCTAGAAAGGGACGTTAACAGTAGACCATAGATAAGTAGCTGGTACTGAGTTTCCATACTTGGGCAGAAGGTGGAGAGTACCAGGGTACCTGTGTGTCAGCAGAGCTGATAAAGGAAACTACTGCATGAAATCCTGCTTGGGCCTGAAAGTTCATTTTTAGTCCAAGGCTTTGCCCAGTGAGAGATTTCTTTAAGCAAGTTGGTAATTTGTCCTTTCTGTAACTGCAGAGAATTTTGCAGTGTCCTCACCTTTGACTTCCTCACTACAGCCCTGGCCTTAAAAAGAAAAAAAAAAAGTGGAAGTGCACCAACTGCTTTTATTTTGTTGTGTTTAAGTTATTTTCATGTTTAATGCAATTTTCAGAATGGACGCTTAATGCCAAACAGTAGAAACAGGTATAAGGCGCCGAAATATTTTTGAAAACTCTAGTGAGCATGCACCTACATCTGCAGATGCCTGCACACTGAAAGTTAGCCTATTTCAGCAAGGTTGGCCTGGCCTGCCTTTTCCTTTGCAAAGGATCTTCCTCTGCCATACAAATCCTTTTCAGCACGTGACTTTTCCATTCTGTTTTGAGTGAGAATTGAAACAACACGGATTAGATTTGAACCTGAAGCTTTTCAAGTGGATGGAAGTTTAGTGAGTATGGTGTTAGATTGCTAATGAACATAATGTTAGATTATAGCCCAGCTCTAGCTATAAAGCCTCCTCAAAGTTTTTTGGATGTTCAAATTAACATTTTTTGTTTAGGCTACCCCTTACTATTAACATTTCTAGGACCAATTCCTAGATGTTCTTTAATGCTACCTGTTTGAATTCAAATATATATGTGCGTAACAGTTTCAGTTCTAGCCTTTTACATGGTAAAAAAGGTGGCAAAGTCTTAGCTGGCATTAGTATCATCGTGAATCACGTAACTACAGCTGACCAGTGAGAATGTGAAGAAATAAAAATTGCAAAACAAAGAGATTTTTCTTCTGATTTTTGCAGAGGAGTATGATCTGGAAATAACCAACAACGGTCCCATCACAACAGGAGCTCAAGCTACTGTTCGTGCCAGTCTAAGTATGAAGAATGACAGAATGGCCTCACACTTTTATCATTTTAACTGGATTTATGCTCCTCTGATTCTCATTGAGAAATCAGAGCAGCGGTTTCACTCCCTGATTAATGTGACTGGTGAATTTCCTGGGACTTTTCCTGTATCTGTCTGGGTGACTCACAAAAACTGTTGGTTGTGTCGGCCTGTTGCTAGAAATGTCACCGTACTTCACATCACAGGTAAAATGGCTTTACAACTTCTACAGCTTCTTTACGACTTCTTGAATTCTTCAGGAATTCAAGCTACATCACAGTGGCTGCACTACCTTTGCTAGTATCAGAACGAGCAAAGGCCATCTCGGACAGGCCGTGTGCTAACCAGGCCACGTTGTCTCCCTGCGTCCGGGAAGCAAGCGTGGTGCTGCCCGTGTTTTCCTGCCTCTCTCGCTTAGGGGAACCAAGCTAGAAACCAGATGCTCCAGTAGCTGTAGGTCACGCATCAGTGCTGTTTGGTGATACCCAGTGCTGCCTGTGTAGCTGCTCAGCGTTTCGAGTCCCATTGTTAGGGCAACCGGAAGGAGCCACAATTGACTAGTTTTCCCTTTTGCATGACATAGAAAAACTTAGGCCATCAGCATGACAGAGCTGTTACACTTTCTTTCAAAGTTCAGGATGATCATCCTGAAACGAGAGGTGGAGTCATGGCTGCCTTTCCAAATTGCATCTTACTGTGTCATATTCATAGCCATAAACAGGCACTTTTGGACAAACTGGCACATGGGGCAGTGTGGTTAGCCTAAGCTCTGAGGCAGGGATCAACGTGAAGCATCCTTTGACAGCGTTCCGTGATCCCTTCCTCCAAAGACAGGCAAGCGCGTCCCTCCAGCCATGTGTCCCAGCTGCTCTCCTTGTGCGCTCCAAAACAGACCGACCCCACGTTCTGCAGCGGCAGAGGAGCAGCATGAGGACATCAATGATGACAAAAGAGCCTACCTGACATTTTGAGGAATAGCTATTACAATTTTTCTTTGAGAAACGCCAAGGGAAAGCCTTTATAAAAATATACATAAGATCTTTTCTCTCTTAAAAATTGCTGCCTTGCTGAATAGCTGCTTATTCCTTTTTCTCTTTGCACTGACTTAAAGTCTCATGTCACTAGAAAAAGGGATAGACATTTTTTATAGCTATGGTAAGCTAAGGTAAGATCTTGTTGTATCCTTCTGCCTTCCCCAAACAAGAGAATGATCTAAATTTTCTAACCTATGAATAAAGAGGTGTCATGATGATACGCTGACCAGCTCATTATAAAATGAATAGGATAAAAGCTGTCAGTAAGACACTTACCCTGGGCACAAAGGTGGTTCCCAATAACAAATATAAATAGGGGCACAAAGGTAGTTGCTAATAAAACATAAAAATTACGTTTTCCGGTTAGATCTGCATTATCAGCCCTATTCTGAAGCAGTAATTGTGATTCTTTTATTTGTGTATTATCAAGATAACGGTTAACCAGATTTAATGAATTGTTAACAGGGTAAGCATCTTACTAGTAACTCATATCCTATTAATGTTATAATGAGCTGATCAGCATATCATCGCAATACCTCTTTATTCATAGGTTAGAAAGTTTTTAGCTCAATTTCTGCTAATCCTTAGAACATCTCTTTACTTATAAGCTAAACAAATGACCATAGAATTGCAGGCAGACATGAAAATCAACATTTCACGATTTTTTTATTTACAATGTATAGCGCATCTGTTATTCAGAGTAGTCAGATCGTCATTTCCACGGACGTTGCTAAAATAAAAAAAAAAAAAAGAAGAGGAAGGGAGTACGTACTGGCTTGATTCTGAATCCCTTGGCTCTTGGGGTTAAATCCCAGTTCTTTTTAAATCAATAGTAAATATTGTTACTGATCTAAATCAGCCCAATATTTTTCCTCTTGGTTCTATTAGTGGCTGTATCATGACCAATAGTATAACCTTGAGTAAATCATTTAATCTCTCCGTCACCTCGCTAACACATATAACAACGCTGAGTAGTAGATGTACAGTATACTTAACCAGTTGCACTAGGGCACAGAAAAACTTAAGCAGTAGATTTTAAATAATGCTTTGATATTCACAAGAGTGTACTACACAACTGATATATGCTGTCATCCCTTCTCTACCTTATTCTGCAGAATTTATCACAGGGAATCTTACCGTTGCCCAGATAGAAGACAGTTCGTTTATCAAGCAAGGTTCAAGCTCATCCACGGACACCGTGACCCGGATTTCTTTCTCTCTTCATGACCCAAGTGATTACTTCAAGTCAGCGTCGTTTGTCTACAACTGGGACTTTGGGGAAGGGTAGGTACGGTTACGTTGTGTTCTTTAATGAATATTCGAGATGTCTCTGATTTGGATGCACATGAAGAGAGAAATCCTGATAAATCACAGGACAAAACACGCGCCTGTTTCAGTTAGTGCACTCTTAGCGTAACATCCAGGTGGGTTATGAAAACTTGGAGACGAAAGGTACTGTGTATTCACAGAACAGTGATGTTTGAAAGACCTAAATTTCTTTTTCAAATACGTGCTTAAGTGTATTACTTACTTAGTGTAGATTGTTGCTTTAGACTGTCACTGTGCCTACAGAATCTCCAGTAGCAGGTTGTTGTTGAATGTGAGAATAATTTGTGCACTTAAGGAAAATGGAAACAGTATTCTTCCTTGTGTTTGGCCAATAAGTAGTTATTACTATGATTAGCTGCCCATAAATAGACCTCATCTTGGCTGAGGAACTTTTGAAGAGTGATAGGTCTTTCAAATAATATAGAGCTGTACATTAACACACACTAAGTGCTGATCTAATAACAAAATGAATAAAATAACCAACCCATCCAACATAGCTCTGAGCTGCCTGAAATAAAATTGTGGGTGGTATCTAGCCCTCATGTCGCTTCACAGTAGAGAGGAGAAAAAGACATTCAATTAGTTTTCTTCTCTGAATGCAAAGATATATCCAACAGGAATGTGTGTGTGCAAGTAGAAATGTCAGGTTTGGCTCTTGAATACTAAACTCTTTTCTTTTTCCCTTCCCCCCCCCCTTGAAGTGCTTCAGTTAGCTGATAGCCTACCTGCTATAAAGGTAGTTTTCATATTTGACCAACTCTTCCTATTCCATTCCATGAACTACTGTAGCGATATCTTCAGTTTCATTAACAAAAATGTATTAAGTTAAACACACCCTGGGCCTGATACTGATTGTAGCTTCGTTGGTTTTATACCATTGTAATGCTGCAATCATTAATCCTGACTGATATGGACATAAAGCAGAATTAGAATCACAGCTGACTGTAGCACTGTGTATAAAGAAAAAATATTAGCGCTTATCCCTTTTTAAATTTAACATCATAAATATACAAGTACTTGATAACAGGTGATTTTGAGTATAAATCTTTTCATGTTGCACCTAGGATGTATCAGATTACCAAGGAGCCCTTTGTCTACTATAACCATTCCACTGTGGGGAACCGCACCGTCCATCTGAAAGTGATAGCTGAATGGGAACAAATTGGAAACATCATACATGAAAGAGAAACTGTGCAGAAAACTGGCGATTTTACCACTGCTCTGGAGCTGTTAGGTAACTATAAAACATTTTGCACCCTCAAAACAGAGTTTGCTCTATACATAGCAATACAATCTTGCTGCTAGGACTTTAACGTGGTAAAACAACTCAGGTGTTCCTGCACATGTGTGAACTGGTCAATCATTTTTCAGTTAAGAGTTAACATTGCAAAATGGACTTTGCACTTTTCTAGACCGGGAAAAATGGGGAGGGAAATAGAAAATCTTCTCTCTGTTTCTCTGTTCTTTTCATTAAAAGCTTATTTTTATGTAAAACTTCTGTTAACCATTATCAACATTTTTCAGTTATCAAAAACTTCACGGTCTTTTGCAAAAATCTCGCATACACTTAAAAACTGCAATAAAACACTTATATTATCTTATTTTGTTCATTTAATTTACACTGATGAACCCTGAAAAAATAAATTTGATCAAATGAATGAGACTTTCTTAGCGCTTATTCTCTCTGCTTCAAGACTAGATAAACATGTACATAAACACATGAAGCATTAACAAAATGGTCAATTAGCTTTTTTTGGGGGGAGGAGGTAGTATTACTATTTATGGCAGTGATACAGCTAAAACCAACAAAATCCATGAAAATAAGCCCTCACTGAAAAAACAGTGAATTTCAGTTTACATATTGAGTGTGATATGCTTTTTTCTTCTCTCAGATGCTGTTAAAAGTATCAATGTAGTGGGCTCCAGAGAGACTCACGTAATGGAAAACTTGAGTTTATCTCTTCATATCAATGGCAGGTAAGTAGCAAACATAACTTTCTTTTGCCAAAAAGCATTATATGCTTGGTTTAGTTTTTTTCCGTTTCCCTAAAATATTGTCACTTGCACCCCACAGAACTGTTTCTTAAAAAAATTCTTATGAACAAAGTATGATTGAATATAACTTGTTCTTGACTAGAAATACCTTGAACTCTAGCAGCCTGAAAGAGATCACATCTTTAAAGAAATGTAGAATATTCAAATGTATATCTCCTCAGAGAATCCTTATACATAAAGCAAATGTTATTTGTATATCTTTGTAAAGAAAAGGTGAAAAGAGAACTATTCAGAGAAAGACAGTGGAAAAAAATGACATTTTAAAGCTCCCTTTTGGATTTCTCTCCTTGACTGATTCCCCACCATTAAATTAAACTGTATCCAGAATTCTGCTGAACAGCAGCTGTCCTTGACTGGCACTGGGGAGTGGTAGGTTTGGGGAATTATTTTCGCAAAGTAAAGGTCACCACAAGATGAATAAGGCAGAGAGGCTCCAAGCAGAAGGTGAAATTTTAAAAAGTAGTCTGTATAAGGAAAAGGCTGGAGAAAAATAAAGTTACCAAAGAGAGATGAGTCTGGGCATGAGGAGCAAAGGGAATTGTTACTGATGTTTGCTTTTTCCCAGTATGTCACCTGGGGGGACTATTCATGTATAGTTACAGGAATGTAGAGGAGTCGTGAGCACCTTGATCCTAGCACAAGCTCTCTCAAGCTGTGATATTGAGAACACAGGAGATCTTTTCATATAGCAGAATCATTTTTAAATGCCAGTGAATGACTCAGAAAAGCCCCTTTACCATAACAATTCTTCATGACTGCGGAAGTCATTCATTCTCTAGAAGAGGGACGCTTGGCATTCTGCTTTTAGAAGCTGTTTGGCCTAATGGTTGGTTTCCAAAAAAGAACCCCCAAAAGCACCGGACTGGTGGTAGGGATGTAGGACAAAGGGAGCAGCACCCAATATATAGTCATTTGCCAAGACATAAGTAACCCTAATAGACAAAACAGCACAGTTTGTTTTCAAAAAGTGAATTCTGCTTTGGTAGGAATGGGCACTGGCGATGGCATGCAAGTAAATATGAATAGCCAGTCACCATTACAGGCAAACTCTCGAATCATAAAAGTAGGCTTGATTTAAAATGGACAATATTTACCAGACCTAACCGCTAGCAGCAAGACTGGAACTGTTGTGATGGGAGTTTATATGATAGAAAAGCAATGTCAAAAGCTGGAGAGATCTTTTAGCAAAAACAAAGCTAGAAAATGAGCTAAACATGTAAACATGCTGCTTTCTTTAGCAGAAAATGTCCTGGGCAGATAAGGAACGAAATACTAAGAAGCTGGGATAAAGAAAGGCTCTATCTGTTGTCAGAATCAAAAACTGTAGTGCAGAAGATTAGGCAGAACCATTTGGAGCAAGGGTCTGAAAACAAATAAAAGACAGCAACTAATCACAATGAGAAGAATAAATAAGGTCGTAAAGTGGATTGCACTTAGATTGCTTGGTAGCAAATGAAAACCTTTGTATTAGTGTAGGGGAATCCTGTGATCTTTGCGAGCTATTTACCTTTCTAAGCTATTAGTCCAAATGATTGCACTGAGCTCATCTGGCCCTCTTTCCAGTTCTTTTTTTATCAGAAAAGTGTTAGGTGTGCTTCAGCAACACAGACACTGACCTCCAGCATGTGAAAAGAGCAAAGAAAAAACAACCTATACCCTCTTGGGAAAAAAAATAAGAGATTACCTTTGTCTTTATTAGAGAAGGGCTAAGAGTCCTTTTTCCTACACACAATGGCCTGCCTATGATCCACGCAGGTATTTAACTGTCAGCTGAAATATTTGTTCTGGAGATGCATTATGAAGGGCTTTTTCAACTGCCAAATGCTATAAACCAAACAATTGTGCAGTTGATTACTTCTCTATTTGTACTTGGATTAGCTTCAATGGTTTTCAGAATTATTATTATTTTACCCAAGTGCTTCATCAGTTCTTAATTCTTGCAATTTTTGCAAGGTTTTCACCTTTTGTTTTTTTTTTGTTGATATTTTCATTTTAGCCCACCACTGGCATTATGCTGGCTTATAAAGGCTGAGTGCATTCCACTTGAAGGTGAAAAATGCCATCTGGTGGTGATTAACGGTTCTTGCTACAATCTGAGCCATACTTTCCGCGCCGCGGGCCAGTATTGTCTCAGCGTGAGAGTGGAGAACGGCGTGACCATGTTGCAGACATATCATGAAATAAAAGTATGGCCAACAGGTGAGGTGCAGCTAGCCTGAGCAGCACGGAGGTTCCTACAGGTCTGGGAATCTGACAGTCTCAGACATGTCAGGGATAATTATGGAATAACTAGCCTGGAGATGAGGTTTCTGAAAATTAGTATAGATCCTAAAAAACATAGGAAACGTGTACTGAAAGGAGAGGCTGTCACATGCCTCCTGTAATTGCTCTGAGCTTCTTGTATCCTGCTAAACTCTTAGTCTCAGGAACGTCCTGTAGCTAATGGGTTTCATGGGAAGACTGAGTTAACACATATTTTTCAGCTTAAATAGCCCCTTGCTCTTATGGTTAGAGCAGATAACTGGGAAAACATGTGCATCTATCACAGTCCCTTGATTAAGCAGTCTCAATTTTTAATTTTTTTTTAGGGGTAGGTTTTCTAGGCCTCCATTTCTTGTTTTGTCCCCCCAGCCAGCAATCCCTGTTGGCTCCCCCATGCATGCTCACACAGGCCTCTCTGGGGTCTCTGAAGCATCTTACAACCTCCCAACGCCCCAGCCCCACATCCCCACTTCTGTGCATTCAGGAAGACCTGAAGTGGTCTGGGCTGAAAAATTTGTTTCCTGTTGCACACAGGTCTTTTGTTCTAAAAAGTCTGAAAGTTTCTCCTAAAACATGGTTTCTTTCTCACCGTTACCTCTTCTCAGTGCATTGCTCCACTCCAGGAGTGTCCATTTGTGCTCTTTCTCAGGGATCCAGCCGGCTTTCTTCATCCTGCTCTGCATCGCTCTGGTTTCAGTGGTGCTAGGACTGGTGCTGTACACGACCTTCCGAAGTAGCACACAGCAGAAAGATCTTGTGGAGGTACCCATTTACTCTTGCCTAGAGATGGAATAAGCGATTGGATACCTTTCAGCCCTGTCCGTTCTTTAATCGCTAGGCGCACGTCCGGGAGGTGGAGGTGTTCCCCTGGTATCTCTCATATTGATCTATTCCATGTGAAAACCTGAACAGCACAGGCAAATGTTTTAAGTAACAGGTCTGCTTCTGGCTCCTTGTGGGAGAAAGATGACTGATTCAAGTTGCCAGGGCTGTGATGGGCAGTTAGGTAACATTCCCAAGCATGTGCTTGCATGGAAGTATGCCTTCCAGGTGATCTATCTCTGAGTGCTGACATGGGAGAAAGAAGTGGGATAGTAGGAGGGTATGCTAGATAGTAAGGAAGGGTGGATATTTACCTAAAGTGGCACTAAGTTGTCACCTGACTTTACCATCCAAATTTTATGTACCCAACTCCCTCCTATCTCCCTGGTGTAGCTTTCACTTGTTGCATTATCATTATTATAATAACCACGAGCTCCTAAGTCAAAAATCACATTCTTGAACCTTTGGAAAGCACCTAATACGTTTCAAATTATGTCACAGTATGACTCATATACCTATAGAGAGACTGCCTGTGGGCTGCGTGTGCAGCTGGTTCAAATCAGAATAGTCTATTTGAAGTCAGTGACTGACTAGGACTGGTTGAGGGCCAGATTCTCTGCCTGGCCCAAAGTATCTTGCTGGTCTCTCACTTGAGCCAGATTAGGCCTAGACTTCAAACTGATCTTTTTGATGTTCCTTTTCCAGGTAGCTGACTTTGACTTTTCTCCGCTGTCTGACAAAAAACTGTCTTCTGCTTCGGAGTCAGGCTGTGGCCAAATATGTTGCAGATCATGTTGTCTTCGGTCATCTCAAGAAACTGCCAGAGAGAGTCATGAACTTCTACTTTCTTTTTACAAGCCAGTCAAAACTTACACAGTGTGAAGAACACAATCTCACTTTGGTTGCACTAACTGCTGAGTTTAACTATCCCACTTAGGATGAGTTAAAAGCTCAGCGCTGCATGGATGGTTTATTTTTGCCAATGCAATGAGGTTAACCACTTTACTAGGTCAAGCACATGAGTATTTCCTTGTGTGATCTGAGAAAGAAAGAACCTGAAACACAGTAAAAGTAGCTTCATATTTTTAAATTATACGGGTGTATACATTTACAGCTGTAAATGCAGCATTTTATTCTTATGAAAGATTATTTTATGCACAGGTTTGCTAAACTCATTACCTTTGGTAATTTGTCTGGTCCTTCTGCTATTTGTTTCAAAGAAGAACATGCCTAAGACAAACATACCTCTCTTTCTTATGTTACAACAATATTACTGGTAATACAAGTCAGACAGAATGCTGTTGAATGTATACTTGCTTCAAAAAGGAACTGACTTTTCCAGGTTGAGAAGAGCTTTAGCCTACATGCTTCCAATGAACCAGCCTATCTAATTATGTTGTGGTTTTTTCCTTGTCTTAAAAGACCTCTTTTTTAAGTTAATGGGATTCTGTGGGACTATAACAGCTGATGAGCTGCTGATGGCAACCCAGGTTCTTGGCAGCTTTGCAGAGTGGCAGCACCTGCTGTGGACGCCTGCAGAACCCCAATACTCCCCTGCAGTAGTAAGCCATGCTAACCTGCGTAAGTAGCATTTTTTTCAGGCTATCCATTCCTCCTTTCTCTTTCGTATATTACTACCCATTGAGTCACCAAAACTTTCTCTTTGTAAACACAACAAACAGTAGCTCAAAGATGCTTAGCAAAACAGCTTTCAATATTCAAGGCTCCTTGCCCATTGCAGACTATCTGCTACTATCAGCTCCCTGCTCAGCCAGCCTTGCCTCCTGCTGCATAGCTTTCCGCAGCTCCTTAAAGGCTTTTACACAAAACTGCCTTGGGAGCCATTTCTTTTCTTACACTTGACACTGACACCTTTCTTACCTCTGACTTAAACCCTGTGAGCATTGGAGGTTGGGGGCTTTCAAGTATGACATCATTTCTCAGGTATGCTGAATGGGAGATGCTTGTCTGCATGCGAGGGAACTACCGTTAGGATTTCAGTTTTCTACACTTCCTTAGAGAGGCCAGAACCTCAGTTCCTCTGCCTGTCAGTGAAATGACATTACCTCAGAACGGCTCGGTGCTGTAGTTAATTTATTTGATACATTTAAAATGGATTAGGATCATCTAAGGTAACAAATGATCCAATAACTCCAAGTTTTTGTCAAAAGCGACTTTCCAAAGCAGGACTTCTTTTAGTTCTGGAGATGCCCTATTTTTCTAAAGCAATGTTTTTGTAAGTGAGCTTGTTGATTAGGGGTGGTGTCCTTTGTATTCATTCTCAGTGCCCTGGTGTTAAACCCTTATCTTCAGTCATGTTTGATCACTGTTTACAATGTGCCTCTCCTTAGTCTAGCAAAGAAGCTGTTGTTCTTGGAAGCTGCAGTTTTATTGCTTATTCCTGAGATACCAGCCATGTGAGCAACTGTCAAAGACATGTGACTAGCTCTAGGATGTCTGCGTGCTCTATATATGGTTATATATGGTCCTGGGCATGGGCAATGCCAGACTTCCGATGTGAAAAACACAGTTCCGAGTGGTCGTGGCCCTAGAAGGACTGCTCAGTTGCTCTCTGCAGCCAGAAGTTTAGTTTGGGCTTAGCCATTTTGTAAGTTTGATACACATATGTGACCCTTCCTGGGATAATACACCTAAAGACATTGTTGTCTTTGGCCACTGTCATGCTAATGAAGGTGTAAAATGTCCTTCTCCATATTGCCCTCCTAATGGAGGTAACAACTAGGAGAGAACAAGTTACAGGTACCTTGAAGCAGGTATCATTTGGGTTGGGCAAAGATCATATCAAAGCATTAAGATCCGTGCTCGGCCCCCTTTGTATTAATATCCAAGTGATTCAAAGGGTACTGTGCAGTGATAGGCCAAGAGCATCACGCCTTTGGCGTTGTGCCTCCTTCCCCTCCCTGGTATGTCACAGCTGATAAGACTGGTCATGCCAAACGTGGTGAAAGTGGATTTCCTCCCCCCGGTCAAGGAGAGGGGGACGTGGAATTAGTGATATCGAAGGGTGAAAGACTGGCCTAAGATAATCATATGGAGGAAGACAGGGCAAACCCCTTCAGAAGAAAATTGGTTCTCATTCTCTTCCTAAAATGAACACGGCATGGCCAAGAAGCCAAATAATTCAGAAGGGCAGAAAAGGTAAATGGCAGCAAAGTAGAAAGTCAAAGCTATCAAAGAGCGGAAGAGACACTGCTCAAGAGCAGATGCAAAAGAATAGAGGTTAGAAAGGGAGACATCTCTTGCAAAAAATAGGCACTGAGAGAACTACATTTAAAAGGCATGTCAAGAAGCAAATTATCTAAGAAAATTTAAACAACCTTATCAAATTGAGGTATAAGAAATAATCTCACGAACATGTTCCTGAATCCAGCATGAAACTGCTTCCTGCACGAAGGACTGATCAATGGGTTCAATAAATGCCTCTGAAGGTGAAGACAAAAGGTAATTGAGCAGCTCAGGGTGTAGCAAGGAGAGCAGTGGAACGTAACGAGGACCAGCGGGAGGATTCATTTTGTTAACCGCAGAGATCAGCGACCTGGAAAAAGGAATGTTCAGCAAAACAATGAAAGTCACCGACTCAGAAGGGGAGTTCAGCGAGTGCAAAGCCGCGGAGCAGTTAAATTCAGATGATAAGCAAGAGCGTGAGCAGATAAGAAGTTTGTGCAACTTAGAATTGTTTTCAAGGAAGCAAAATGTCCTGGAAGGACAGGGTAAAGCAAAAAAACCCTGCTGTTATTCTCTAACTTGTTGTATAAACAGTTGTACCAGCTTGCGCAGAAGGTGTGGGGACCAGCTAGCCCTTAAGAGCACAGCATAAGGCGCAGTGACTGAACGGGTCCGGGTCGAAATCTGTCTTTCCTCTCTGGCGAGTGGGTTACGCAGCCCAAGCTGTGACAGCAGTTTGAACTCACAGGGCCTCTATAGCGTTTTCTCGATGCCGTAGGAAAGGAAACGGTCTCAGCCGGAGGAAGGTGAAGAACTTCATGTTTAAACGCTCGGCGTTATTAGATAGTCAGCCAACGCTCTACCTTGATTTTGGAGAGCCAGTGCCGGTTTCCGTGGAAACGGAAGCGCTACCCTGCAGCTGTGACTGAAATGTTGAAATGGCGCCGACCTGGGCTCTGGCAGCTCGCCGAGCGCTCGACGCCTGCAGCTTTCACTTGCAGCCGCTGCCGGGGGGAACACAGCGCTTCGAGAAGCTTCTCGGGCCTCTTCTTTCAGACCGGGGCTGCTCGTCGTCAGCACGTGTAATTCCCGCAGCAGCACGTGTGAGCAGAGTGATCGCAAATACGTGGTGTTTTGTGTGCAAACCACTGCAACAGCAACCAACAACTAAGAGCAGATCATACCGGTGCGCTGGCAGAAGGCCCCCTCTGGCCCCGTCACTATCCCACCAAATAAGCGTCTTACACGTCTACTTGCAGCGGTCCTGGGACCACAGAAGTGATATTATCACCGTCTACGCAAAACAGAGCTATACGGAGAAAGGGAGTGTGATTCAGAGTGGCAAGTAAGGCAGGTGTAGATGCCTGCACAAAATGCAAGATTAAAAGGTTAGGGAGCAGTTCAGGCCGCCTGCTTAGCCTTGGCCCTTTCTCTCTAACCCACGGGGCGAGGTTAGTGCTGTGCCGCCGCTTGTGCAGATGCCAGCTGAGATGCGGGCGCAGCACAGGCTGCAGCCGCAATTAGAGAACTGCACAGCAGGTGTCTCCCGACGCATGAGAATATTTGCCCTGCCTGCACGCTCTGGGGATGGCAGGCACCGGCTGCTCTAAAGACTTTTCTGCTGATTATTTTTATGCACTCATCGCTGTGGCATGCGAGCTAAATGCACAACCAAAGTCAATAAAAAACACGTACTGTTCACAGTACAAATATCGTAGTTTTGGGAACCACCCCAGCCGGCTATGAGAAATGGCTCAGTGGCAGTCAGCGAGCAGAGGAACGCTGCCCCGGGGCAGATGAGCCTCGCGGCTCTCCCAAGGGGATGGGGGGCCAGCCTGAGCGAGCGATGCAGGCAGCACGCTCCCGGGAGGACCTCGGGGGGGGTTATCGACACCCGTGACATGAGAGCAGCCAGTCCTGCAGGCCCCTTCTTCAGCGGGACAAACGCTGTGCGAGTAGAGGTTGGCAGGATCCGGCCCGTTCCTGGGAACGAAAGCTCTTAGTCCTTCCTGGTTACGTAAATTAGGACTTTTTCTCATCTAAAGCGTCTTTTCAGCTGCAGTTTAGATACAAAATGAGAACAGATGACAGCAACAAAATCTCTCCTCATCAGATCGATAGCATGTACTTAATAGCAAAACAAAAATGGTGCCATAGGTCTTTAATGTCACTCCAGTTTCCGATCCTTAATCTATTCTTTAATTACATGTGACTCTGGTTTTTTTTGTAACCTAGTAAAATGCAGTGAACACAAATATATTTCTCTTACACTAAAATACAACACGAAGCAGCATAATATCCCACTTGCATAAAGCACTTGTTCCACTACTTTGAATTAAACCAATGAGGGAAAAAACCATCTCAAATTCCATGAGAGTCGGCTAATTAAATAGCAACGCCCCTGCCTTCATTCGTGCAGTCTTGGTAAATTACTGTAACTACCCCTAGCTACGTCATGAAACAGATCAAGTTTGAGTTAACAACCTCAAACTCATGTTCGAGTTTGCATGAGCAAAGCACCCGAACCCGTGCCTGCGTGCACGCACGGCGCGCTCGCGGAGGAGCAGCTCCTCGGGCAGCAGGAACAGTCAGACGTCAGGAAAAGAGCCCGCGTTTCAGTGGGAGATCACAGCGTTCACGGTCGCATAAAAAGGCCTTCAGCGAGCACCTAGATCTAGCTAACCAACGCCTAACACTATAGCTGGTTCCTAGCCCACTGTTGAATTTCTGCCACGTTGCACACTGAATTCGGAGCCTTTTCCTGCGTCCCGAGGGACAAACAGGACGCTGTTCTATGGTGGGCGGCGCGGCACGTGGTCTGCCGCCCGAGGAGGCTGCCCCATGCAGGAGCACCAGAGTCCTAAAGCCAGTTCTTCCTTTCTTAACTGATCCCAGCAATACTAGAGCAATTCCTGGGAGGCTCTATATTTGCATGTTAAAAAGTCTTTTACAGTATTTAATTAGACTATTAAAAATAAGGTATTTCTGTTACTAGATAATTTTTATATTTGTGGAGTTGATCAAGGTTATAAGTAAAAGAGAGATGCAGTGAAAATAGGAGAGCTATAAGTTAAGCCATGAATCAAAAGCGAGTGGCAGCTCCCTGGCTCCAGGGTGAGTGATAGATCGGCACAATCTGTGCTGAGCAGCCAAGGAAACACCTGGATTTTTGATATAGCTTGAGTTTTGAATCCAAAATGATTGCAGG